GAGAATCTTTTATCTGCTGGTTTATTCATCAAATGGTTGCAATGGCAAGGGCTGAGCAGGCCCAAAAATAGGAACCTGGAACTCTTTCCAGGGTCTCCAATGTTGATGGCAGGGGCCCAAGTAATTGGGCAATATTCACTGCTTTCCCAGGCACATTAACAGTTAGCTTGAATGGAAGTAGAGCAACTAGGACTCAAACCAGAACCATGGTGTAGTATGCTTGTGTTGTAAGCAGTAACTTAATCTGCTATGTCACAACACTGGCCCCCTTTGTACCTATTTCTAACTTTCAGAACTGTTTGTAATCAATAACTTTTCTTTAAATAAGTATCTATTCTATGTATCTGTAGGCTAAATGGAATATGTTGTAGAATATATCTGAACATTCAAACCTTAAATTTAGTGAGCATCCATTTCTATCAGCCAAGACTGACTAACAGAAATAAGGAAAAGTTGCAAATAAACTTAAGGGCCATTGATTTACACAAGTGTGCAGTCATTGAAGACAGAGTAGCTTCTAAAAGGAAGAGTGTGAACTTTGAAAGCAGTTTTGAATTCAGATCATGTCTTCATTTCTTATAGGCTTTAGAAAAATTCTGTAAAATTTCTCTTTCCTCAATATGTAATGAGGCTGATCATCCCGCTTTTTAAAAATTTCACTTATTTAAAAATGCACATAGATAGGACATTCACTGGTTACTCCCCAAATGCCTTCAACAGCTGAGGCTGAGCCTGGCTGAAGCTAGGAGCTGAGGAACTAACCCAGATCTCATGAGAATGGCAGAGATCCAAGTACTTGAGTCATCACTTGCTGTGTCCCAGGGTGTACATTAGCAGGAAGCTGGAATGGCAAATGGAGCCAATACACAAACTGAGACCTCTGCTAAAAGTTGCTGGCATCCCAATCAGTCACTTAACTGCTAAGACAAATGTCTGCTTCTCCTTGTTAAAAGTTTAATCTCTGAGAGGCAGAGAGACAGAGACAGTCATTTTATTTTGAGGTGTTTTATTTTTGGCAATTTTTAAATATGCAAAAAGCACTTGATATATAATTACTAGTTGTAATGATTATACTATTTTTATTTTTTAGTCTGAAATGTAGGGAGATAAAAAGATGTGGGATGTCAGAAGTCTAGGGAACCTCAGAAAAATACGACCACCAGAGTTTTCTAATTATCAAGCATTAATTTCTCACTCTTGCCCATTTTCTAAGAACTTGTTATTATAACTGAAATTTCTATAATGAAAGTAATAACTTCTTATTAATTTCCATAGGAATTATTTGATGTATTGTCAATTTTACTAAGGTATAATTGACAAAAATTGTATATACTCAAGGTTTACAATGTGTTTTGATATACATGTGCACTGTCAAATAATTACCACAATCTAAAGCTAATTACCTATCACTTCACATAACTACCTTTCTTAAAGGTAATAATACTTAAGATTAATGGTTGCAGTTTAAAATCAACTATTTGTAAAAAGAGAATACTTAGAATCTACTGCCTTTGCAAATTTCAAATACACAAGGCATTATGGTTGACACCATGCTATACATTAGGGCTCCAGAACTTATTCAGTTTAGGATCCTTTGACCAAGTCAATCCATCCTTTTTATTTTACTATCCAGATGCGGCCCTCTTGCCTTTCCAGAGGGCACCTGACTGACTTCTGAAATTGTACATCAAAGACTGGCTTCTCCAGTGGGCTGGGGTGGCCCTGCAGGAATGGTGCAAGCAGGAGTCTGAGGTGCAGTAGCTCGCATGCCGCCCATGCTCTGACTTCTCCAACAGGGATGCCGTTACAGGGCTCTTCTCCCAGGGGTTTCCACACAGACACATACAGTAAATTACATCAATCTAGAGAAGCAGCAAGGCTGGGCATCCAGGCAGATCTACATGCGAATCTCAGCTTCCTTCCCTGCCAACTGTGCCACTTTGGGCAAGTTACTTTCCCTTTCTCAGCCTCACTTTCCTTCTTGCAAAATTTAATGATGGTAATAATTCTTCTCAGAAGACAGTTCTGCAAACAAGATAACTTACACACAGTACCGGGTATGTGTGCCCTCCATGTAATTTTTTTTTTCCTTCCCAGTTCAATTGACTAAGAGGATGAAGTGCCAAAGGTGAGGGGTTTCACCAAGCACAGGGGTAGTAGACAAGAAGGGAAATGGGCTAGACAGTTTCCAGCCTGATAAAAACGAGAGGCCAGGCAGCCACAGAGGAGCCCGGAAGGCAGAGTCACCAAGAAGGCCACGTCCCACCTTGGCCATCACAAGTAGGAAGGAACTCAGAGCAGGACTCTGAAGCTCCCCTTCCCTATTTTACTTCAGCCTGCTCCAAGGCCAGGAGACCCACTAAAATGCTTTCTGTGGGAGACTCCAGAGCACCTGGGAGATGAACAGACACCTGCATCCTGTTGCCCAAGTGTACCATGCAAAGCCTCTGACATGGAATGAGCAAACCAGCCTCAGACGGAATCCCACTTGCGGCAGGCTGAACGTGTCCTCTGGAATTGATTTTCACCTGGAACCTGAGAATGTGCCCTGATGAGAAACAGAGACTCTGGGGCTGTAATCAGTGCAGCTCACACTGGCTGAGGAAGAGTCCTCCCGCCAGTGACCGGTGTCTAACGAGAGATGACGCTAAGGAGGGGTGGAGACTGGGGAGGAAGGAGGCAGCCAGAAGCCAGGGACCCCAGTGCTGCCAGGAGCCTCTGGGAGCTAGGCGGGCAGGGAACAAGTTCAAAGAGGAAGCATGACTTGACCCCGGCTTGGGACTCCCAGCCTCCATACCTCTGAGAAGTTAACTTTCCGTGGGTTCAAGCCAGCTGTGTGTGGCAATTTCAACGACCTCCTTGGGACACTAATGGACTTTCCAACACCCCGTGGGGATGGACCAGTTCCGTCAGGCTCCTCCCCCCAGTCATGACTTCTTCCTCAAAGTTCCTGTCCATGTCCCCAGTTTTCTCCCTGTACTCTCAGCCCCAGCGCCCCCGTTCCTAGTGCTGTTCTCATGCCTACTCCTCCGCAGAGTGTCCCTCTCACAAGGCTCACGGCCACGCCAGGGCGGGGAGGGGCTCAGGGAGGCTGGGCCTTCAGGGCCTCCACCACCCTGAAAAACCTGTGACCAAAACCACAGTGCTTGACTGTTCTGTGCCCCAGATTCTTCCCCACTGCAACACAAACTTACGAACCAGCAGTGCTACCACACGGGCCACTGGGTTTAAAATGTGATGGATGAGAGCGGGCCTGGGGAAGCTGAAGGCTCAATTAAACTGGCAGGAAGCTACTGCATTGCTGTTAGAGGCCTTGGTGAAGACAAACCAGCTGCCCGAGTGACACAGTGCCCTTCTGACCCGAGAGCCACGCTGTCCAGGCCTTTACCTCATGTCTGAGCCTTTGCAGGCCACTGACTTGGTTGAGCAGGTAATGGGCCACAATTTATCTTCAATTTCTGGAAAATGAAGATTTGAATGTAGTTACTGATGACCCAGAACCAGGGCCAGGCCTCCAACCACGACCTTGGCAATGAGATAGGGAATGCTGCTTATGCCCTGGCTTCTTCTTGAGTCTGGACTATTACGAAAGAGAAATACTTAAACTCAATTTATTGGCAAATATCTTTAGATTTTGACTTCCTGGTGAATTCTTATGTTTAAAGAAACCAGCTCTGTGAAGAAGGGCATTTTACAGATACTGAATTTCTTTTAAAAAGTAAAATATATTGGGCCTTCACTGTGACATAGCAGGTAAAGTCACTGCCTGTGATCCTGGCATCCCCCATAAGTGCTAGTTCCTATCCCGCGCCTACTTCACTTCCAATCCAGCTCTCTGCTAATGGCCTGGGAAAAGCAGTAGAAGATGGCCTAACTGCTAGGGACCCTGCTACCCAGAGGGAGACCTGAATGAAGCTTTGGATTCCTGGCTTTGGCCTGGCCCAGCACTGGCAGTTGCAGCCACCTGGGGGATGAATCAGAAGATGCACGATCTCTCTGTCTCCCTCTCTCTCTCTGTAACTCTTTCAAATAAATAAATAAATAAATAAATCTTAGCAAAAATAAAAAAGTAAAAAATACCAAACTTGAACTGGTTTGTACCCAGTGGCTGATATTAATTTAAGATGGCAGTGATGAAAGTGAAATAATCAAAACCAGCAAAGTGACAAACTAATAATTTCCTCCATGATTAAATTCCTAATTTAGATCATTTTTAACATGTATGTTCCTCATGGCAGCCATAGCATTTCATCAACTTTAAAATGGCTTTTTTTTTCACAGCTTAACATCGATAAAATCAGCATATGTCTTGTAGTCCCCATTCCTTTTCATTTACAATTTTTTTTATTCTTTCAATCTGAGTGGTACTTAAAATATTAGTGTGTCTTGTAACTTATGGGTCTTAGATTCCATGAATTATGGTATTTCATTTGAGGAAGGTGGAATCTGTGAGATTTGCAATTAAATTTCTTTTTCTTTTTATAACGTTCTTATTAAATCTCAGTGGAACAAGTCTGACACATTTTCTGCCTCAGAAACACTTGTTCTGTTTACTGTAGAATTCAGTCATTTGCTCAGCTCCAAGAACCAATGCATCATCACAAACAGAGGCTCTAAGTGGAATTTTGAGACCAAAGAATGGGAAGAAACGGAAGTGAAGTATGAAGAAAAATTGAGCAATTTCATGTCTACAGGTTCATCTCGGAAACATTTTCATGGAACCCACTGAGCTTTGTGCCATGGTCTGGGCTCCCAGACGAGGCGGCCAGAGCCCCGGGTCAGCCCCTGTGTGCTGCTGTGAAGACGCCTATCCCTGCTGGGGCTCAGGCCCATCTATTAAACAAGGGGATTTAGCTGGACAGATCTTGAGGTCTGAAATATTGCTAAGAGCCCCCAAGAAGCCTCATTTAGGCAGACTTATCCCCACAGACATTTTCTCACCCATGTATCTCTCACTCGGTTCCTCAAAGACTAACTGCTCCCAGGCTCCCTGGTCTTACCAGTGTGGCCAATAACTCGCTGAACGTTGTCATCTGCAGAGACACTGCAAAGAAACCAAAGCATCCGGAGTCAAACAGGCTTTGTAAATAAAATACATTCACTGCTTTTTAAATAGAGCCAATGGGAGCAAATGCAGAGCAAGATTAAAACCAATGATGGTTAGAGATTGAAATGGAATTTTATTTTTGTACTTTTTAACTGACATATGACTTTTGCAATAAAAGGTAATTCTTCACATACTCAATTAAATCAAAAATCCCCACACATTTGTCCTGCCCAGGCAGGGTTATCCATATTGTTTTCATGGATCTTAGCAAGAGAAACATATAAGGCACCAAGAAAACTTACAAGAATCCAGAGTCCAGCCACTGCTGAGTATTTTCTTGTTTGGAGTCTTCTACAAATGAGAACATTACCAGTTAGTAAAGCACAACCAGCTAAAAATGACTCAACTCTGTTATTCCGCCAGCCCTCAATAACTCTAAGTCCTACATATTTAGTCACATGTTTCTATAAGCATATTCATTTTTCCCCTGAAAGCAAAACCTCCTGTTTTCCATAATCAGCCTTTACTGAGAATGGAGTATAAACTTGTTCAAACACTACCTTAAAACACACACACATACACATAGAGAGGGAGAGGAAGAGGGAGAGGGAGAGAGAGGGAGAGAATGTGAAAGAGAAACAAAAACAAATCTGTGAAGAGCAAAAGATGTTACAATAATTTTAAGTTACCTGGTGTGAATACAATGGGAGAAAAGGCACAGGAGACTTTTGTCTTCCTCTTGTTGGATATAAATCACCATGGAGCCTCTCATTATTGAATCATGACATTTACCTAAGGCAACTAGCCAGTGATGTTTATTTGCAAGGAGTTCTCTGCCAGGTCAGAAACCAAATTTGCATTCATTCCAGGGACAAATTACACTAGAGTCCCTGGATTGCCAAAGGCACCGTGTGTTAAAAAGGCACCAGTCTTTTAAGGTGAATCTTTATCAGTGGCTCAACAAATAGTCAATGGGCAAAAAGTAGAAGATATCAAGGTGGCACTTCCTGTTAAATGTTTATTTCCATTCTGGTTGCCTGCTGGGCTGATTTTCTTTGACTTTATCCTACCAAATAGTGAAGTACCTGAATTACACGTCACAGGTGAACCAAAAAGCCAGGTGGACATGGCAGATTGTTCTTCTTTAACAGAAGTGCCATGAAGGGCAGAATGAGTTGCATGATGGGCAAAATAGACAACTATCCAACAGTTGTGAGAGTAGTTCAAGAAATTTGTGGAAAAATAGAATTAAAAGATGCTTGTGTGGGTTCACAAAAATTTGAAATCCAGGCAATTTTTCTTAATATGCATTTTCCATGAACTTTTTTGAAGACTCCTCATGCATCATGATGAGGGGAGAAGTCTTTTCTTAGTTATTACTCTTTAAGTTATTAAGAAGTTAGCGATACCTCATGCAAGACCCAAGGAGCCTATTAATAATGTATGCAATGTCCTGAAAGAAGCTTCAGGCCTCCGACATGGAGCCCGTGCAGCCTCAAGGTCCTAGTGACAGAAGATGAAGGGATATGGAAATGTGAAGAGAGCAGCATTCATTCCACAGTTGGTCTATTTCTACAGAAGTCTGTGTTCTGAGTGTTCACAGAGAAAGTCAGAAGTGCCCATTCCATAGAAATTTCCAGCATAATGCTAGGTACACCGGTCGTTTCAAAGCCAAGTCTTTGTTCCAAAATCATCTTCTCCTAGACAAAAGTGCCCCTGTGTTCCTCACTACCCATGCCAGGATGTTTTCAAATAGCCCTGGGCACCTTACTCACCCACCAGAGGGATTGTGGGAGTCTCTCCTTCCTTTCTGGGGTCAGAAAACGGCTGCTCTTCCAGGGGAACCCATGCCTTCTTAGTGAGCCTCAGGATCTTTCGCTTGCTCTTTTCCTGGCCTTCTTGAGGTTTGTCAGGCCCTTGTGACATCTCTGCCATCCTAAGAGAATAATTCTGCAAACTAACATAAAATGCATATACAAATAGATCAGATACAATAAGCTGTCAGGCTTGGCTCAGTGAGTGAGAGAAGCTTAGTTAGAGGAGTCACCTAGTTTCACAGTCTTCCAAGTCTTCCAAGTCCCTGGTCTCAGCTGGGTGAAGTGGTGCACTCTACATGGAGAGGCAGCTGGAGACCAGGGGCAAAGTTGGCCTCCTGAGCCAGCAGGCCACACCTTTCCATTGGAGATTCAATCTGGTGGCCTGGGATTTGGATGGAGGATAAAGAATTTGGTCTTGAGGACATACCCAGTGACTCTCCTTCAAATGTATCTAATAGTTTCATCTATTAAGATATATCTGTTGGCCGGCGCCGCGGCTCACTAGGCTAATCCTCCACCTTGCAGCTCCGGCACACCGGGTTCTACCCCAGTCGGGGCGCCAGATTCTGTCCCGGTTGCCCCTCTTCCAGGCCAGCTCTCTGCTGTGGCCAGGGAGTGCAGTGGAGGATGGCCCAAGTGCTTGGGCCCTGCACCCCATGGGAGACCAGGATAAGTACCTGGCTCCTGCCATTGGATCAGCACGGTGCGCCAGCCGCAGCACGCCGGCCGCGGCGGCCGTTGGAGGGTGAACCAACGGCAAAGGAAGACCTTTCTCTCTGTCTCTCTCTCTCTCACTGTCCACTCTGCCTGTCAATAAATAAATAAATAAATAATTTAAAAAAGATATATCTGTTAAGACCCAAGATGTTGGGGTAGAATGAGGGCTTTGACAAAAGGTCAACCTGAGTACCATTTCTGCAGCTTATTTCATGACTGACTATTAATTTTATTACCTCTGTATCTTCTTATTTTTAAATTGAATATACATTGTACAGACATTTAATAATTATCAATCTTAGCAGAGTCAATTACATAATTTCATTGTCAATGAAGGAAATAACCTGATAGTAATAATTTTATAGCATACTGAAGACCCAAAGGGTTAAGTCACATGCCCAAAATCATACAGCCAGCTAGGACTTAAATCCAGGCACCAAGTTCCAAGTATATTCCATGGACTACCTACATTATAGAGTGGTTGGAACAACTAGAATATCTATGAATTATTTATGTACCTGACACAAAAAATATCATTTGCTGCCATTATCTCATTTTGACCTTTATTAACAAGATTTTGTTGAGCTCACAAGGGCAAAATAGAAGACGGAGCTTGGGGCAGTTGTGTAAGTTGCTCAATCTCCCCAGACTATGAACACCTTGAAAACAAGGGCCATTCTCTTACTTACATGTCTGTAGTATTTGATTTTTGGGCACAGAGTAGATGTTAGTATGTGTAAGACTAAAATAGCTAAAACTAGCATTCAAACCCATTCTCTTTGACTAAATTCTTTCCTCAAGAGGTCCTCAAAAAGTTTCTGAAAAATTCATATTATGAAAAATCTATTTGTGGATTTCAGAACAAACTTATTTGTAAATTTAGTTTCTCATGAACTTTCTAAAGTACCTTCATACCTGAGTTTGCATTCATTTATTCTTCAATTTTAGAGAAATGACTAAATAGTCAAACACCTATGTCAACATCATCGCTGGCATGCCTAAGCTGATCATGAAATGCAAACCACCAAATCTAACTTGTGTTCGAGAAGGGCAATCCATTCATATTTATTGTAAATACTTGAATAGTCTCTTTCGAGAAGGGGTAAGCATTAAAATGCAATTGAAAGTACCAATTTTCTTCCATGCTTTATATATTCAAATGAGGTTTCCTCTTTATTGCTGCAATTATAAATCATTGCCAAAATGAATCATAATTGTGATGACATAATTTTATGTTAAAAAAACTAACAAAGTTCAATTAGTTAAAATTAGGACAAAAGGTAGACAATTAATATTATGTTAAATAGTAAGCATGCTACCTAGTTTAACTGTGGAAAGATCCTCTAGCTATATAATTATAAATTATAAAATTAAAATATAAATTAAAAGTATAATTATAAAATTTTCAAGTTATAAAAATTAGTCATAAAACTATAAAAATTTCAATGATTATACAAGACAAAAATCATACAGATTGGATTATATGTCTAACCATTACAGAATTGTTTGGTATGGTAAAATTTGTAACAGCAAGCAAAACAAACTTCAGGATTATTGCTATGAAATTTGTTACCTGATTTTACATGGGTTTAAGACTTTCAAACAAACAAAAAAGTTCTCTTTTCTGTGCCTTGAATCTTGTGAATATGAGTGATAATCAGAGCATCAACTTCAATGGTGCAAACTTTCCCGAGGAGGAACAACTCCAAAGTTATGCTCAACAACATTAGATATCAGACTCAATAAAGGACCAGAAGGCTTGGCAGACGACAACATTGCTACAGAAAAATAAAGTCTCGCCTTCACTGACCTTAGCTGCAAGTGAATTTCTATTTAGTGTGAGATTTCTCACTGTAGAGGGACCAGGAGCTATCAAACAGTTGATGGCACTCAAATTGCTGTTTCTTCACCATAACATTGGATTGGAATCTAACTATTGCTTTTTTTTTTTTTTTTCACACAGAACACTGTAAAAATCATGAAGTTTTTAGGGAAAAGTGATGATTTGTGTATGTGTCCCTTCTATAATGGCCTGTTTGACCTCAGCCACCAGCCTTCCACAACCAGTGAGGGTATGCTCTCTGCCAGCCCAGTTGTACTTGGCCATCAAGCAGGAAAAACCTGCCAGAGAAAGTGGGAACCTTTGCTAAAGGCAAGGGTCGGGATGGATTTGCAAAGAAAGACTCTTTTGTTCTCTCTGATTTAGTGGACATCTTCCCAGTTAGTAAACAAATCTGCTCAGAAAATGGATTCTCTGATGCCTGAATGATCTTCCATTGGCATCCACTCACATAACACCCAGGGCAGCCTTTTGGAAAGGGACACAAATCAGGTGCAGCCCTACATTGCCCAGTTATGGCAAGTGACCCCTGTTGGCTCTTCCCATTAGCTCCTCTGACCCCAGGTCAATTGGGTGCCCAATTCTTGTCCATTCTGACTTGGATCAAAGTGGAATTCTCTTTCTGGATCTTGCTGTCTCCTGTGCCTAAGGGACAAGTAACTTCTATTTAGATGCTGATTACTACACTATCATTAACCTTTATGTGTATGAAAAACTCCACTAATGTGTGTAATTGCTTATATAATCATGTTTAAGTCTTTAAAAAGAAAAGTTGCCAAACTGTGACTATAAATGCCAAGAATTCAATTTTCAGCACCATGCCGTAGCTGGTAAAGCCACTGCCTACAGTGCCGGCATCCCATATGAGTCCCAGTTTGAGTCCTGGCTGCTCCACTTCTGTTCTAGCTCCCTGTTAATGAGTCTGGGGAAACAGCGGAAGATGGCCCAAGTACCTGGGCCCATGCACGCATGTGGGAGACCCAGATAAAGCTACTGGATCCTGGCTTTGGTCTGCCCAGCCCTGTTGTGGCCATCTGATCGTTTCTCGGCCTTTTGGCTAAGATCAAGTGTCGTGGCCATCTGGGGAATGAACCAGTGAATAGAAAATCTCTCTCCCTCTCCCCCTCTCTTCCCTCCTCTTTCCCCCTCCCTCTGCCTCCACCTTTCTATAACTCCACCTTTCAAATAAATATTTAAAAAATAATTTCATAAAAATAAAACAAAAACCAATATATTTAAAAAGAAAAATAAAAGAAATGTAACAAACTATTATCAAAGTTTCAATTTTTAAAAAATATCAATATGGTAAAAATTAATTATATCATATTAATTCTACTTCAAGTTTTCTTTATCTTGGAAAATTCAACCGTACTTGTTCATTTTCACAGTCAGGGCTTAAGCTCAAAATGAAACCACAGAACTTGATATTTTGATATTTAAAACAGTGGTGATAATCACATTCTTGTCCTCTGGCATTATTGAATTTTTTACACTTCTATGTGAACAAGTTGTCTTGCCAAATGGGTGGTTCATACCAGGAGAATAGGGACTGTGTTTTACCTGTCTCTATGTTCTCTATGAATTCCAGGGCAGCCCTTGGCCCAGGGTAAGCCATGACTATTAGTTGACTGTTAGGTTACCAGGGACAAGAACATCCAGTTAGCTTAGCCAGCATTCTTGGTTCATATGTGGTTAAAATGGCAAGTCCTCTCAAGTCACATAACTCTGAATTTTAATCTCAGCTATTCCTGACTTTCTGACATCCCAAACCTGGGAAAATTGTCAAACTTCTCTTATTGCCTATTCCTCATCTCTGTAAAACTATCAGTTCACAAGGACATGAGAAAATTTAGTGGAAAATGCATGCAAAACAAACAACACTCATAATGGTCTCCCTCTCTCCCTCCCTTCTTTGCTTCCCTATGTTGCCTTTTGCTATTAACCTGTAAAAAATTGTCAAATAAAGAAAAATCTCAAATCAGTACAATTTCTTTTTCCCCACAGAAGATAGATTTGATAGTCTTAGGTTGTTGATAACCTTTTTTTTTTTTTAGATTATTCGAATAATTGAGCAGTAGATCTGTTTGGGGAGTGTGAGAATAAAATACCTCTGTGACCATGGGAATGCAGTTTTCCCTGGGACTGGCTAGAGGCTCTTACCAGAGTCATCAGATGCCTTCAACTACAGATTTAATTCCAAAGTTCTAATCACATCCCCTAGCTCTAGCTTTGGTCATCACTTCTGAATGAGCCTTGTGGTCAGTATTGAACTCTAGGCCTCCAAGAATTTCTAACACTGTCTTCATTCATGTTTCCTTTATGAATCCTGGTCACCAGGGCATCAGTTCATCCCTTCAAATGATCTCAGAGAGTGTCCAGGCTTGTCTTGCTCCCCTCCCCTCCATATACAGTGATTTCCTCAGTAGCAGGATTTGGGAGAAGTCTTATATCCATGTGTTCTAGGAAGACTTATCCCTTTCCAACTTGTGATACCACTCAAAAGTTAAAGAAGGACTCCTCCAGAACTCCTTATGCTTCCAAAAAGATGATTATTATGAGCCTTAGTATCCCTCACTTCACCAC